AAATAGCAACTGATTCTAAACGTCATTTCCTTCTTCGTTTCGTCGTTGTTGTTTTGGCCAGTGCTACATCACGTGGTGGCCAGCTTTTTAGCAATTCTGACTTCCGTTTGTTTCTCTCTCCCCCTGGAGGGATTGCCACTCAGTGGTCCTCAGACAGATGCAATTTGAGAAAACTTTAGCTTCATCCAAATTTAACAGTGTGTGTGTTGAGCGTCAGTACCTCATCCACAATCGTTGTTATGCCCAGCCACTTTGAGAAAAAGTACCGCCTGGTACTAGAATGCAAAACCTTGGATTTCTTGTTTCTAGTATTAACTCGCTGTGATAGATAACATGCATTTACACATTAGCACATATATGAGTCTAGATTTACAAGTATGTTTTTTTTTAACATCATAAAATGCATTTAGATCCTACAACTACGGTACCGCCAACTGTGCCTAGTCGGACCACACTGGCACCACTGCTCAGGCTCTTTACTTTGCCACCGATTCTCACGTTACCTCCGCCGCCAACAATTGACTCTTATGGTTTGCTTTCTTCTGTCATTCTTTATCGGTAGCCGAGTAATTACCATTTGAGATGTCACATTAGTCCTAGTGCATAACTGACCAGTAGATTTGATAACCTGAATTTAAAAAGCGCAACCAAAATTTACAATGCATCAGTGCGTTAATTGATCTTGCGGTAATTTTTGCAGCAGCGCTTAAATAGTCAAAGACTCAAAATTCTATGCAGATATGACTGAAATTAATCCACCCATTAAGATAAATCGCATTTTGTTAAGAATAAGAATAAGTTTTCTACCAGCCATCAACTCGCTTTCAAACAGCCTTAACAGAGCCACTGGCAGCTTTGGAGTTGCTGCTGGCACCAGGTGTCGCTTGCGCTACCTCCTGAATGCCTCTACGGCTCATAGCAGTTTCAATTTTTGAGTTTCTCTGTATGCTGATTTTTTGGCGAAATGGTATAAGGATGCATTATTCAAGGAATCAACACGATTCCGGAGTTACCACCACAGCATGAATCGATCTATGCGGGCATGTTTGCACCAGATGGCAGTTTAATCAAAAAGAATACGAGTACTGTGAAGCAAACCGAAACAAACCTGGTAATTTAGATCTAATTTTTTTATGAGTGGAAAAATAAGAACAAGGATAATATAGTGTTGCCTATTTATGAAGCATTCTTACTGAAAATAGAACTGGAACTACCAAAACCGTCCCTGGGCAGTCAGCTGGAGGGATCCTCTGATAAAGATGTTACTGGGATGACCGCACATGCCGCTTGCAGCTATGTCAAACCCGAATTCAATTTGCAGCTG